TTGCTCTCGTTGAGGTTGAGGAAGTTTTTGCTCAGCCAGGATTGTATCTCTGTTAAGCAGTCCATCAGCTGCTGTAGTGAGTGTTTGACATTTGCTTTGAGAGGCAGATAGATCTGTACATCGTCGGCGTAGCAGTGGAAGGGAATATTATGTTTTGTGAGAATTGAACCTAGGGGCAGTATGTACAGTAGAAAAAGGATGGGGCCCAGAATCGAGCCTTGGGGAACCCCACAGGTAAGAGGGGCTTTGGCAGAGGAGAAGGCACCTAGCTGTACCGAGAAGCTACGGTCTGACAGGTAGGACCTGAACCATGCAAGGGCAGAGCCTGTGATGCCAGCGGACTGTTCAAGCCGTGACAGCAGGATGCTATGGTCCACAGTGTCAAAGGCAGCTGTCAGGTCTAACAGCACCAAGACAGCTGGGCTACCTGAGTCGGCGGCTAGGAGCAGATCATTAAAAACTCTAAGCTGTGTGTCTGTGCTGTGCATGGGTTTGAAGCCAGACTGAAACTTTTCAGATTGAGGAAGAGGATGAGATTGAGCATCAGCTAGTTACAAACAAAAGAGGACCAGCCGGTCAGCGGGCAAACATGAAGCATCTGTTTGTATTGCTTGTGATTGAGATGAAGAACATATCTGTTGAGTATTTGAACATCAGAGAGTCAGATGGTGTTGAGTTGGAGCCCGACAGGCAGCAGAGAGTGAGATGGTGTTGAGTTGGAGCCCGACAGGCAGCAGAGAGTGAGATGGTGTTGAGTTGGAGCCCGACAGGCAGCAGAGAGTGAGATGGTGTTGAGTTGGAGCCCGACAGGCAGCAGAGCCACGCGCAGCAGCTGAGTGACACAGACACACCACACAGGGTTAATGAGCTGCTTCCTGTTTGGCAGCGTGCGGCTGATGACGGATGTTTCTCTGCTCTCAGTATGAAACGCTGATGATGCCGTTTCTCTAAAAGCTGCTTCTGTTTTAATATTCTGATCATCCTGCAGGAGGAGACAGGAGGAGATGGATGAGGAAGAGGAGGAGGAAGAGGAGGAGGAAGAGGAGGATAGGTCAGGAGACGATGATGTTCAACAACGAGTACTCAGAATATAAATCCAAGTATCTCCAGTAATGAGGCAGACTGAGAAATAACAGCAGACCATCTCCTTTAAAGAGTCCTCTCCTGCTGATGTTCAGGTGTATATCAGTATGTAGTGTCTCTACTTTAAAGAGTCCTCTCCTGCTGATGTTCAGGTGTATATCAGTATGTAGTGTCTCTACTTTAAAGAGTCCTCTCCTGCTGATGTTCAGGTGTATATCAGTATGTAGTGTCTCTACTTTAAAGAGTCCTCTCCTGCTGATGCTCAGGTGTATATCAGTATGTAGTGTCTCTACTTTAAAGAGTCCTCTCCTGCTGATGTTCAGGTGTATATCAGTATGTAGTGTATCTACTTTAAAGAGTCCTCTCCTGCTGATGTTCAGGTGTATATCAGTATGTAGTGTATCTACTTTAAAGAGTCCTCTCCTGCTGATGTTCAGGTGTATATCAGTATGTAGTGTATCTACTTTAAAGAGTCCTCTCCTGCTGATGTTCAGGTGTATATCAGTATGTAGTGTCTCTACTTTAAAGAGTCCTCTCCTGCTGATGTTCAGGTGTATATCAGTATGTAGTGTATCTACTTTAAAGAGTCCTCTCCTGCTGATGTTCAGGTGTATATCAGTATGTAGTGTCTCTACTTTAAAGAGTCCTCTCCTGCTGATGTTCAGGTGTATATCAGTATGTTGTGTCTCTACTTTAAAGAGTCCTCTCCTGCTGATGTTCAGGTGTATATCAGTATGTAGTGTCTCTACTTTAAAGAGTCCTCTCCTGCTGATGTTCAGGTGTATATCAGTATGTAGTGTCTCTACTTTAAAGAGTCCTCTCCTGCTGATGTTCAGGTGTATATCGGTATGTAGTGTCTCTACTTTAAAGAGTCCTCTCTTGCTGATGATCAGGTGTATATCGGTATGTAGTGTCTCTACTTTAAAGAGTCCTCTCCTGCTGATGTTCAGGTGTATATCGGTATGTAGTGTCTCTACTTTAAAGAGTCCTCTCCTGCTGATGTTCAGGTGTATATCGGTATGTAGTGTCTCTACTTTAAAGAGTCCTCTCTTGCTGATGATCAGGTGTATATCAGTATGTAGTGTCTCTACTTTAAAGAGTCCTCTCTTGCTGATGATCAGGTGTATATCAGTATGTAGTGTCTCTACTTTAAAGAGTCCTCTCTTGCTGATGATCAGGTGTATATCAGTATGTAGTGTCTCTACTTTAAAGAGTCCTCTCCTGCTGATGTTCAGGTGTATATCGGTATGTAGTGTCTCTACTTTAAAGAGTCCTCTCTTGCTGATGATCAGGTGTATATCAGTATGTAGTGTCTCTACTTTAAAGAGTCCTCTCCTGCTGATGTTCAGGTGTATATCGGTATGTAGTGTCTCTACTTTAAAGAGTCCTCTCCTGCTGATGTTCAGGTGTATATCAGTATGTAGTGTCTCTACTTTAAAGAGTCCTCTCTTGCTGATGATCAGGTGTATATCGGTACACACACACACACAGCAGGTAATTATTTTGTATATATTTTATTTAAGTTCATTCATCTTTAACCTCCAGTTGGTTAAGACATCAATAAAATAAGAAAGAGACATTCAGTATTAGACGGACAGAATACACGTGATATAAATATCAGATATAAAATAAGGCATCTTCAGTTAAATACAGGTGAGTTCATGCTGACTTTCAAAAACAGCCGAGATGATCATGTGACGTTGGGTGCGCTGTGATGATATCGTGATTCATCAGTACGGAGGCCGACAGGTGCCGACGCTCCACAACCATCACAACATTTAAAGAGCTGCAGAAACTAAACGCTGCAAATCCAAAACACAGCGGAGACCAGAGGACAGCTGTCTCTGTCTCAGTTAGTCTGTCTCATAACTGTTAGTGTTTTTCAATATATCTGAAATGACCAAGTTAGCTACGTTAGCTAGCTAGCTTACATCAGAAGGAGTCATGTGACCACATTGTTAAAATAAGACCATCAAACATTTTACGTGAGTTTCCAACAACAGACTGTCTGGTTTTGGTTTCTGCAGCTTTTAGTAAACGCTGCCATGCTTCCTCAAGTTGCTGAACGTTCTCTAAAGGCTGCACGAGCTGTTGCTGGAGAGGTTCCTTCATGTGGAACCTTTGGGTTTCTATATCTGCATCCTTTCTGAAGCTGCAGTGTTCCTCCTGATAGCCTCCGTACTCCTGGATGACAAACTCGCCTAATCAAAATGTCTCTTTTTGCATCATTTCAAAAGTTTGCTTTAACATTGAAACACAGATTACGCTCCATGGTCCGTCCGAACGTCCAGAGTCGCGTTTGAACCCAGCGTGAGTGTCTTATATTTCTAATGTGTAAACAAAATCATCTTTCAGGTAGTGTCCTCGGACACACACTAGCTGATGAGCGTCGCTTTAACAACAAGCCCCTCCCCTTTCCCCGGTGACTCACAAGTCCTGGAGCCAATCATCTGCTGACGTGTGGGGAGGGCGGTGTCAGGGGCGGAGTCATATGTGGGGGCGGAGCCATGTGTGTGGGCGGAGCCATTTGTGGGGGCAGAGTCATGTGTGGGGGCGGAGCCATGTGTATGAGAGGAGCCATTTGTGGGGGCGGGGCCATGTGCATGGGCGGAGCCATTTGTGGGGGCAGAGTCATGTGTGGGGGCGGAGCCATGTGTATGAGAGGAGCCATGTGTGGGGGCGGGGCCATGTGCATGGGCGGAGCCATTTGTGGTGGCAGAGTCATGTGTGGGGGCGGAGCCATGTGTACGAGAGGAGCCATGTGTGGGGGCGGGGCCATGTGCATGGGCGGAGCCATTTGTGGGGGCAGAGTCATGTGTGGGGGTGGAGCCATGTGTGGGGGCGGGGCCATGTGCATGGGCGGAGCCATTTGTGGTGGCAGAGTCATGTGTGGGGGCGGAGCCATGTGTACGAGAGGAGCCATGTGTGGGGGCGGGGCCATTTGTGGGGGCAGAGTCATGTGTGGGGGTGGAGCCATGTGTTGGGGCGGGGCCATGTGCATGGGCGGAGCCATTTGTGGTGGCAGAGTCATGTGTGGGGGCAGAGCCATGTGTATGAGAGGAGCCATTTGTGGTGGCAGAGTCATGTGTGGGGGCGGAGCCATGTGTTGGGGCGGAGCCATGTGTATGAGAGGAGCCATGTGTGGAGGCAGGGCCAGGAGATGAGTGACAGTCCTGGGCGGGTTCAGGCCTGTCATGTGACAGCTGGTTTATCTCCACTGTTGGCCCCACCCCCCTCTCCTGCACCTGACCAATAACCCAAGCGCATCCCGAGCAGCTGATACCATGTGACCCCGCCCCCCCTCTCACCCGGCCCCTCCCCCTTCTGGGTGGTGCCCGATTGGCTCTTTGATTGGCTCTCTGATTGGCTCTCTGATTGGCTCTCTGGTTGTGTTGATGCACTTTCATCAGAGCGAGCGCAGCCAGGTCAGAGTGAGACGACGTGCTGTCAATCATCCTCCTGCCCAGAGCGATTGGACGGAGGGGGAGCGCCAGCCGGAGGCGGAGCCAGAAGCGGGAACGCAGAGGCTCGGATCGGGATCCTCGCCACGAGACGGAGAGGGAGGCGGCCTGGAGAGGAACGTTTATTTATATATCACCTTTCAACATGAGGCAATTCAAAGTGCTTTACAAAAACGAAAGACATTAAAGTTCTCCTATTTTAAGGCATATATTACAGGTCTCAGATATATAAAAACCAAGTCTCTGAAGGGTCCTGCTCCAGACCCCAAACAGATCCTTGTAGCCCCCCCCCCTCTCTTCCAGCTGTTACTAAGGACATGTCTCTGAAGTGTCCTGCTCCAAACCCCAAACAGATCCTTGTAGCCCCCCCCCCCCCCTCTCTTCCAGCTGTTACTAAGGACATGTCTCTGAAGGGTCCTGCTCCAAACCCCAAACAGACCCTTGTAGCCCCCCCCCCTCTCTTCCAGCTGTTACTAAGGACATGTCTCTGAAGTGTCCTGCTCCAAACCCCAAACAGACCCTTGTAGCCCCCCCCCCTCTCTTCCAGCTGTTACTAAGGACATGTCTCTGAAGTGTCCTGCTCCAAACCCCAAACAGACCCTTGTAGCCCCCCCCCCTCTCTTCCAGCTGTTACTAAGGACATGTCTCTGAAGTGTCCTGCTCCAGACCCCAAACAGATCCTTGTAGCCCCCCCCTCTCTCTTCCAGCTGTTACTAAGGACATGTCTCTGAAGGGTCCTGCTCCAAACCCCAAACAGACCCTTGTAGCCCCCCCCCCCTCTCTTCCAGCTGTTACTAAGGACATGTCTCTGAAGTGTCCTGCTCCAAACCCCAAACAGATCCTTGTAGCCCCCCCCCCCCCCCTCTCTTCCAGCTGTTACTAAGGACATGTCTCTGAAGTGTCCTGCTCCAAACCCCAAACAGATCCTTGTAGCCCCCCCCCCTCTCTTCCAGCTGTTACTAAGGACATGTCTCTGAAGTGTCCTGCTCCAGACCCCAAACAGATCCTTGTAGCCCCCCCCCCCCTCTCTTCCAGCTGTTACTAAGGACTTGTCTCTGAAGTGTCCTGCTCCAGACCCCAAACAGATCCTTGTAGCCCCCCCCCCCTCTCTCCCAGCTGTTACTAAGGACATGTCTCTGAAGTGTCCTGCTCCAACCCCAAACAGATCCTTGTAGCCCCCCCCCCCCTCTCTCTTCCAGCTGTTACTAAGGACATGTCTCTGAAGTGTCCTGCTCCAAACCCCAAACAGACCCTTGTAGCCCCCCCCCCTCTCCTCCAGCTGTTACTAAGGACATGTCTCTGAAGGGTCCTGCTCCAAACCCCAAACAGACCCTTGTAGCCCCCCCCCCTCTCTTCCAGCTGTTACTAAGGACATGTCTCTGAAGTGTCCTGCTCCAAACCCCAAACAGATCCTTGTAGCCCCCCCCCCCTCTCCTCCAGCTGTTACTAAGGACATGTCTCTGAAGGGTCCTGCTCCAAACCCCAAACAGACCCTTGTAGCCCCCCCCCCTCTCTTCCAGCTGTTACTAAGGACATGTCTCTGAAGTGTCCTGCTCCAGACCCCAAACAGATCCTTGTAGCCCCCCCCCTCTCTCTTCCAGCTGTTACTAAGGACATGTCTCTGAAGTGTCCTGCTCCAAACCCCAAACAGATCCTTGTAGCCCCCCCCCCCTCTCTTCCAGCTGTTACTAAGGACATGTCTCTGAAGTGTCCTGCTCCAGACCCCAAACAGATCCTTGTAGCCCCCCCCCCCTCTTCCAGCTGTTACTAAGGACATGTCTCTGAAGGGTCCTGCTCCAAACCCCAAACAGATCCTTGTAGCCCCCCCCCCCCCTCTCTCTCTCCCAGCTGTTACTAAGGACATGTCTCTGAAGTGTCCTGCTCCAAACCCCAAACAGATCCTTGTAGCCCCCCCCCCCCCCTCTCTTCCAGCTGTTACTAAGGACATGTCTCTGAAGTGTCCTGCTCCAGACCCCAAACAGATCCTTGTAGCCCCCCCCCCTCTCTTCCAGCTGTTACTAAGGACATGTCTCTGAAGGGTCCTGCTCCAAACCCCAAACAGATCCTTGTAGCCCCCCCCCCCCCCTCTCTTCCAGCTGTTACTAAGGACATGTCTCTGAAGTGTCCTGCTCCAAACCCCAAACAGATCCTTGTAGCCCCCCCCCCCCTCTCTTCCAGCTGTTACTAAGGACATGTCTCTGAAGTGTCCTGCTCCAAACCCCAAACAGATCCTTGTAGCCCCCCCCCCCCTCTCTTCCAGCTGTTACTAAGGACATGTCTCTGAAGTGTCCTGCTCCAAACCCCAAACAGATCCTTGTAGCCCCCCCCCCCTCTCTTCCAGCTGTTACTAAGGACATGTCTCTGAAGTGTCCTGCTCCAAACCCCAAACAGATCCTTGTAGCCCCCCCCCCCTCTCTTCCAGCTGTTACTAAGGACATGTCTCTGAAGTGTCCTGCTCCAGACCCCAAACAGATCCTTGTAGCCCCCCCCCCCCTCTCTCCCAGCTGTTACTAAAGAGCTGACTCTGGGTCAGTAGCTTCAGAGAGAGAGTAGATCTCATCAGGAGAACTCCGTGACTAAACTCCATATCATGTTCCAAACCACATGAAGGATTCTCTCTGAAACAGCATGGAGCTCAAACTCTTTCTCTCTCAGGTTTACCACAAGGTGACTTCCTTTTGATTTCCTGCTTCTTCACACATACTCTCTCCAGTACAGGTTAGCTCTGAGTGTTAGCATGCTAATGTAAACACAGACCATATTACTTCCAGAACACGTCTCATTGTTTCTGACAGCAACGTTTCTGATTGGCCCGTGGGTGTAAAGCCCGCCCACATTTTAGTAATGTGGTCATGACGCAGCAAATCTGGATCAGCTCCGTTGTTCATCTCTTTAGTAACAGCTGGAAGAGAGAGGGGGGGGGGGGGGGGGGGGAGGCTAGAAGGATCTGTTTGGTATTTTGAGCAAAACACTTCAGAGACTTGTTTTTTATATTTTGGTATATATCTGAGACCTGTAATATATACCTAAAAATAGCATGATAGGAGATCTTAAAAACACTTTTCTTTTCAATTCCCAGAATGAGGATGCTTAGATGTTTAAACAGAATGAGGGTAGACCTGTTGGAGCTGCGCTGCCTCCACGCTGGGATGTTTGCTGACGGACTGAAACACCACGGAGACGATGGAGGCGCGGCGCTCGTTCTGCAGAAACAAACCCAGCCGGCACTCCAATAGGCTGAAGCTCTTCTCTGAGAGGAAGGCGGGGCTTAGCACGAAGAGGAGGCGGCGGCTCCGCTGCATCGCCTGCAGGATGCACTCTGATTGGTCTAAAGGGGGACAAACGAGAAGTGTCAGGAACAACGGATGACACAATACAAGACAGACGCGAATATAGAAGGGAATCTCAGGAACATGTCGTAGAGTTTGGGAATTATATCATGATATGAAGAATTAGCTAAATACAACGACAAATACTGGCAATACTCGAAAAAACCATCCTGTGCTCCTGGAGCCACATTTAAACACCGATTGGACACGAACAACACAGACGCAGAGTTAACACGAACAACACAGACGCAGAGTTAACACGAACAGCACAGACGCAGAGTTAACACGAACAACACAGACGCAGAGTTAACACGAACAACACAGACGCAGAGTTAACACAAAAGGGAATCTCGTAAATATACGACATTAAACACATTTGAACACAACTCTGACTCACTGAGCTTCATGTCGTTGAGCTTAGGGATGATTTGATATGAAGATGAAGAATTAACTAAATAAAACGACAGATACTGGCCTAAAAATCGCAGAACGCAAAACCATCCTGTGCTCCTGGAGCCACATTTAAACACTGCTTTAAACTAGTGTTTCAATCCATCATCATACAAACATCGCTCTCCTCAGAGCCTCGAGACTCCCACAGAAACAGAAACACCTCGATCGGAATAAACTTGAACAAAAACAAAATAAAAACCATCAGCGTCTGACAGTGTTTCTAAAGATCACTCACCACTGAGCTGTGACGTTGTGGAAGTCTCCGAGTATGAGAATGATCCGATGAAGATGAAGATGAAGATGAGACTCTGTTTGACCTTTACCTGCGCTCTGATTGGCTGTTCAGCTTCAGCCAATCCCGGGTCGCAAAAAGGGCAGAAAAAAGGAAACCAAAACACCGATCGTAGCAAATCTTCACTTCCCGTTCTGTTTGAACGAGACGAGGTCCTAACTCCCATGCTACTGTCCGGATGCTAAACAATTGCATGCTAATCGTAGCATTACGCTAATAGAGAGAGCTGCTAATGAGGCTATATATTGCTTTATATTATTTAAAGTAAAACATGTATTTACTTGCTGTTTTTGTTTATAGTGAATGATTCTTATTTAGTGTTGTTTGTTTTATTCTTATATTTTGAAGGCATGTTTGGGCACCGGGTGTAATTGTGTGTGTTAAGGAATAATTCTTCTAGATATCTAACCTTTGCTCTGTGACGTTTTATGATCTACTCTGACGTCTGTTATCTCCTTTAAGGAAAGGCCTTGGTGCCATATGTGTTGTCATCAGTTTGTGACCGGTCAACTTGTCTGGCACGAAGGGTACTTGTTGTGAGAACACTGAGGCACTTCTTTATCGGTGTTTGTGGACTCTAAGATGTGAAATCTTTGAGGCCATGAGTGTCGGACGCAGGTGGCTCAGTGTTCCCAGCTGTTTAGTCTACTCCTTCAGAGATGTTGATTTCTCTCTGTGAACCAGTTAAAAGGTCTAGCATAGAGAGAGGCTCTTCAGAATTGACGTGGCAACTCTACCGTGTGGTCAGAACCTCTGACTCTTTGACTTGTGATGTGAATCCTCCGGCCGAATACTCTGAATAAACCCATCAGTGTTTGACATCAAAAGCTCCAACTCTCACCGTGTCTCCTTCCTGAGTCGGTGACTCCATGCATTACTACACAGAAGTTTCCCCCACAGTGTATACATTGGAGAGACAGGTGGAGCAGCAGGAGGGTCATGGTTCTTTACCAGGGTGAAGTCATAGGAAAGTCTTTAAGGAAAGGAATCGATAGGAAACCTGTTGTTCTGTTGTTTATGATATCGGATCATTAACCCTGCGTGCGATTGGCTAATTGAAGCCTCTAATTTTAAGTTAATTATCTGTTTTATTTCCACATGGTTTTGTGCGACACAGTGGCTATAAACATATATATTTATACTAAATGTGTGTGTTCATGGTCAGCTGAGAATATGTGAGTTTTAGACGTCTGGAAATAACTTGTGACTTCTTGATCTCTGGAGATCAAATAATAATTGTAAACGATATGAACATTGTGATCCAAACTACACGGACGTGTGGAAGCAAGAGGTGGAATGAAGATGATGCTCACAAACCAGTAGATGAACAAAACATTTATTAAAAACCAACATGAGGTGGATTACAGAAAAATACAAAGTGAATGAAGACAAAGCGCAGGATGCTTTCTCCCATTACCGCTAAGTGCAAAAGATGAAGAGCACAGTTTCCCTTAATGAACAGAAATATAAACCTTGATTCATTGTAGATATGCATTTATACGATAAAACCAACATTAAAATGAAACATAGAAAGAGTAATGATCAGGTGAGTTTCAAACATATATTTCTGACTAAAATACAATTCAAGTCGCTGCTGCACATCCCCGAGGGTTGGTTTCCCTTCAACATGTTTACAAGTACTTGTTAAAGTGTATCTTGCGTGGTATCTTAAATCTCCCAACCTTATTTACGTGCTTTGCAATGTGCAGTTCCTCTAACGGCCACTAGAGGAAGTCAATGGGAGCTTCTCTCTAGAGGTGCAACTTAAATATAAAAAGTGAACGGTTCCCTGAGGGATGTTACTAAATGTAAATGCAGGTGAAGCTCATGGTGGTGAGACGACAAATAATACTGAGTTCATGAGGAAGTAAATTAATCTGAGACAAAAGGCTTTTTTATTTCTATGTTCTCAGTACATTCATCGTGGGTCTGGTAGAAAACTAAATGACTAAGACGTTCAACTCATCTGTGAACATCATCTGATTCTGGGTCTGGTATGTGGAGCGTTGCAGTACACGCATCTGTCCTCTAGGGTTAGACTCCTCTACAGCAGCGCTGCTTTAATATTGATGTTGTAAATCTCCCTCTATGCAGACGACCATAATATTTATATCTGTATGACCAAATGTAACAGAGGTTAACCAACTACGGGACAGGGTTCAGGCCACATGTGAACATTCGGTCTCAAAGATCTGGACTTTTTCTCAGAATTAAAAAACATTTTTCTACGCCGCGGCCTGGAAGACCTTCTGCGGGTGTTTGATGCTGTTGGTGATGAGGCCCGTCTGGGAGTTGGTGCTGTTCTGACTTTGCAGCCTCAGCCCCTTCCCCCCCTCCTCCCCCCTCCCTCCCCCCCTCCTCACAGGAAGCTCCACCCTCAGCCTCTTCCAGAAGCGAGAGGTTAGATCTCTGGATTTGTCCCCCTGCCATCGGACCAGAGCCAGAACCACGCGGGCCCTCCTGAGCTCGCGGACCAGGCCCCGCCCCCCCCCCGGCTGGTACTGCACCAGGATGACCCTCAGCTGCCCCCCCCGGGCCATGCTGTCCAGCCCCACCTGCAGCTCCAGCAGAGCCTGGGACCCCCGCGAGGCGTAACCCGGGCCGAGGACCACGAGGAGGCGCCGGCTACGAGACACAAAGCTCAGAGTCTCGTCTGTGATGGCTGGGAGAGAGGGGGTGAAGGGGGGGGGGGGGTGAGATGAAGGGTGACTCTGTTTCTGATAACTCTCACTGTCACACGTTAGTACTGTAGTATCAGTGTGTAGTATCAGTGTGTAGTATCAGTGTGTACTTGTAACCTCAGATGTTGACGTAGAGCTGTTCAGGGCAGCAGTGTTAACCATCATGTGATGTTTGGCGTTCTGAGCATGTCAGTTGGAGTTATGACATCATCGCCTAGCATCGAGCGAACGTGTTCATCATGTGAAGTATGGGGCCATTGGGATGATTTTCTTTTGAGTTATGAGAAAACCATGTTTCATGGCGAGCATTGTGTTGCTAACGGCTTTTGACTAAATCTCCAAACTGACATGAATATGTCTTCAGGGCTGGACCGTTAGCACACGTGAAGTTTGAGCACTTTTTGTGCATTTTCATGGGAGTTATAGCAATATCGTGTTTTACGGTGAGGGCTTTTGAGAAAAACTAACGAGTGGCACATAGACATGTTCACTCGTCTCTGCACCTTAGAGATACGTAGCGATTTTTGTTAGTTTACGTGAAAGGAAGTGGGCGTGGCTTGCACATTTTTTTACGCAAAGTTCTGGAAATAAGAATCATAAATAATAATAATAATCCTATCGATATCAATAATGAATAGTGTGCGCGCGTGTGTATGAGCGTGTGTGTGTGTGTGTGAGCGTGTGTGTGTGAGCGTGTGTGTGTGAGCGTGTGCGTGTGTGTGTGAGCGTGTGTGTGTGTGTGTGAGTGTGTGTGTGTGTGTGAGCGTGTGTGTGTGAGCGTGTGTGTGTGAGCGTGTGTGTGTGTGTGAGCGTGTGTGTGTGTGTGTGAGTGTGTGTGTGTGTGTGAGCGTGTGCGTGTGTGTGTGAGCGTGTGTGTGTGTGTGAGCGTGTGCGTGTGTGTGTGAGCGTGTGTTTCTGTGCTTTTGCCCATTGTTCCCCTGTTCTGTGTGTTTGGCAGGATTACAGCAGGGTCTTCACCGACCTCCGCTCTCAGACCCTAGGACACAAAACCTCCGAATGAGAAGGTGTGTCCAAACTTTTGACTGGTACTGTACTTGTGTGTACTATGGTGCGGTAGGTGTGTGTACATGTACTTGTGTGTACTGTGGTGCGGTAGGTGTGTGTACATGTACTTGTGTGTACTGTGGTGCGGTAGGTGTGTGTACATGTACTTGTGTGTACTATGGTGCGGTAGGTGTGTGTACATGTACTTGTGTGTACTGTGGTGCGGTAGGTGTGTGTACATGTACTTGTGTGTACTGTGGTGCGGTAGGTGTGTGTACATGTACTTGTGTGTACTGTGGTGCGGTAGGTGTGTGCACATGTACTTGTGTGTACTGTGGTGCGGTAGGTGTGTGCACATGTACTTGTGTGTACTGTGGTGCGGTAGGTGTGTGCACATGTACTTGTGTGTACTGTGGTGCGGTAGGTGTGTGTACTTGTACTTACTCCCCCCCGGCAGGCTGTCTCTGTCGAAGATACACACGGTGTACCCCAGCTCGTTCTCCAGAACGCTGCGAAGAGTGGAGAGAACGAAGAGTTCCTCCTCACTGCCCCTCGCATAGGAGATGTACAAATCGTACTCCTTATCATCTACACACACACACACACACACACACACACACACACACACACACACACACACACACACACACACACACACACACACACACACACACACACACACACACACACACACACACACACACACACACACACACACACACACACACACACACACAATTAAATTACATTTAGGAAGAGGAAGTAGAAGTACTCAGATCTTACAAAGGAAATACTCTAGTAAATTGTACTTAAGTACAGCACTTGTACTTACTACTATTAATACACTACTGTATTAATAGTAGTAAACATATTTTAACATATATATGACTATTATATATATGTACTTAATGTTCTCAGTTTCTAACTCAGAGTTGAACTCTCTGTTCAGAAACAGATAAAGAGTTCAGATGGACTGATTCCTCAGAAAGAAGCGTCTTGTTTACGTCACATGATCAGATCTGTTTCCACCTCCGTATCTGCCCAGGAAGTCAAACTTTAAACACGTAGAGGTCAGAAAGTCCTCGATGTTGATCTGCAGCAGAGCGTCTCTGAGGGACAGTGTGAACATCTTTACAGAAACACTCTCCAGTTAGAGTGCCGCTCACAGAGTGACGCTCACAGTGACACAGAGTGACTCTCACAGTGACACAGAGTGACTCTCACAGTGACACAGAGTGACACTCACAGAGTGACACTCACAGAGTGACTCTCACAGTGACACAGAGTGACTCTCACAGTGACACAGAGTGACACTCACAGAGTGACACTCACAGAGTGACTCTCACAGTGACACAGAGTGACTCTCACAGTGACACAGAGTGACTCTCACAGTGACACAGAGTGACGCTCACAGAGTGACGCTCACAGAGTGACTCTCACAGTGACACAGAGTGACTCTCAAAGTGACACAGAGTGACTCTCACAGTGACACAGAGTGACGCTCACAGAGTGACGCTCACAGAGTGACTCTCACAGTGACACAGAGTGACTCTCACAGTGACACAGAGTGACTCTCACAGTGACACAGAGTGACGCTCACAGTGACACAGAGTGACGCTCACAGAGTGACTCTCACAGTGACACAGAGTGACTCTCACAGTGACACAGAGTGACTCTCACAGTGACACAGAGTGACGCTCACAGAGTGACGCTCACAGAGTGACTCTCACAGTGACACAGAGTGACTCTCACAGTGACACAGAGTGACTCTCACAGTGACACAGAGTGACTCTCACAGTGACACAGAGTGACGCTCACAGAGTGACTCTCAAAGAGTGACGCTCACAGAGTGACGCTCACAGAGTGACACTCACAGAGTGACTCTCACAGAGTGACGCTCATAGAGTGACGCTCACAGTGACACAGAGTGACTCTCACAGTGACACAGAGTGACTCTCACAGTGACACAGAGTGACTCTCACAGAGTGACTCTCACAGAGTGACGCTCACAGAGTGACTCTCACAGAGTGACGCTCACAGAGTGACGCTCACAGAGTGACTCTCACAGAGTGACTCTCACAGAGTGACTCTCACAGAGTGACGCTCACAGAGTGACTCTCACAGAGTGACTCTCACAGTGACACAGAGTGACGCTCACAGAGTGACTCTCACAGAGTGACTCTCACAGAGTGACGCTCACAGTGACACAGAGTGACTCTCACAGTGACACAGAGTGACTCTCACAGTGACACAGAGTGACTCTCACAGTGACACAGAGTGACGCTCACAGAGTGACGCTCACAGAGTGACTCTCACAGAGTGACGCTCACAGAGTGACTCTCACAGAGTGACGCTCACAGAGTGACTCTCACAGAGTGACTCTCACTGAGTGACGCTCACAGAGTGACTCTCATAGAGTGACACTCACAGAGTGACGATCACAGAGTGACACTCACAGAGTGACTCTCACAGAGTGACACTCACAGAGTGACGCTCACAGTGACACAGAGTGACTCTCACAGTGACACAGAGTGACTCTCACAGTGACACAGAGTGACGCTCACAGAGTGACTCTCACAGAGTGACTCTCACAGAGTGACTCTCACAGAGTGACGCTCACAGAGTGACTCTCACAGAGTGACGCTCACAGAGTGACTCTCACAGAGTGACTCTCACAGAGTGACTCTCACAGAGTGACGCTCACAGAGTGACTCTCACAGAGTGACGCTCACAGAGTGACTCTCACAGAGTGACGCTCACAGTGACACAGAGTGACTCTCACAGAGTGACGCTCACAGAGTGACTCTCACAGAGTGACTCTCACAGAGTGACGCTCACAGTGACACAGAGTGACTCTCACAGAGTGACTCTCACAGAGTGACTCTCACAGTGACACAGAGTGACGCTCACAGAGTGACTCTCACAGAGTGACTCTCACAGAGTGACGCTCACAGAGTGACGCTCACAGAGTGACGCTCACAGAGTGACGCTCACAGAGTGACTCTCACAGAGTGACGCTCACAGAGTGACTCTCACAGAGTGACGCTCACAGAGTGACTCTCACAGAGTGACGCTCACAGAGTGACTCTCACAGTGACACAGAGTGACGCTCACAGAGTGACTCTCACAGAGTGACGCTCACAGAGTGACTCTCACAGTGACACAGAGTGACGCTCACAGAGTGACTCTCACTGAGTGACGCTGACAGAGTGACTCTCACAGAGTGACACTCACAGAGTGACGCTCACAGTGACACAGAGTGACTCTCACAGAGTGACACTCACAGAGTGACTCTCACAGAGTGACGCTCACAGAGTGACTCTCACAGTGACACAGAGTGACGCTCACAGAGTGACGCTCACAGAGTGACTCTCACAGAGTGACTCTCACAGAGTGACGCTCACAGAGTGACGCTCACTGAGTGACGCTCACTGAGTGACTCTCACAGAGTGACACTCACAGAGTGACGCTCACAGAGTGACTCTCACAGAGTGACGCTCACAGAGTGACTCTCACAGAGTGACTCTCACAGAGTGACGCTCACAGAGTGACGCTCACAGTGACACAGAGTGACGCTCACAGAGTGACTCTCACAGAGTGACTCTCACAGAGTGACGCTCACTGAGTGACGCTCACAGAGTGACGCTCACAGAGTGACGCTCACAGTGACACAGAGTGACACTCACAGAGTGACACTCACAGAGTGACTCTCACAGTGACACAGAGTGACTCTCACAGTGACACAGAGTGACTCTCACAGTGACACAGAGTGACGCTCACAGAGTGACGCTCACAGAGTGACTCTCACAGTGACACAGAGTGACTCTCACAGTCACACAGAGTGACGCTCACAGAGTGACGCTCACAGAGTGACTCTCACAGTGACACAGAGTGACTCTCACAGTGACACAGAGTGACTCTCACAGTGACACAGAGTGACTCTCACAGTGACACAGAGTGACTCTCACAGTGACACAGAGTGACGCTCACAGAGTGACTCTCACAGTGACACAGAGTGACTCTCACAGTGACACAGAGTGACTCTCACAGTGACACAGAGTGACGCTCACAGAGTGACGCTCACAGAGTGACTCTCACAGTGACACAGAGTGACTCTCACAGTGACACAGAGTGACTCTCACAGTGACACAGAGTGACTCTCACAGTGACACAGAGTGACGCTCACAGAGTGACTCTCAAAGAGTGACGCTCACAGAGTGACGCTCACAGAGTGACACTCACAGAGTGACTCTCACAGAGTGACGCTCATAGAGTGACGCTCACAGTGACACAGAGTGACTCTCACAGTGACACAGAGTGACTCTCACAGTGACACAGAGTGACTCTCACAGTGACACAGAGTGACGCTCACAGAGTGACGCTCACAGAGTGACTCTCACAGTGACACAGAGTGACTCTCACAGTGACACAGAGTGACTCTCACAGTGACACAGAGTGACTCTCACAGTGACACAGAGTGACTCTCACAGAGTGACTCTCACAGAGTGACGCTCACAGAGTGACTCTCACAGAGTGACGCTCACAGAGTGACGCTCACAGAGTGACTCTCACAGAGTGACTCTCACAGAGTGACTCTCACAGAGTGACGCTCACAGAGTGACTCTCACAGAGTGACTCTCACAGTGACACAGAGTGACGCTCACAGAGTGACTCTCACAGAGTGACTCTCACAGAGTGACGCTCACAGTGACACAGAGTGACTCTCACAGTGACACAGAGTGACTCTCACAGTGACACAGAGTGACTCTCACAGTGACACAGAGTGACGCTCACAGAGTGACGCTCACAGAGTGACTCTCACAGAGTGACGCTCACAGAGTGACTCTCACAGAGTGACGCTCACAGAGTGACTCTCACAGAGTGACTCTCACTGAGTGACGCTCACAGAGTGACTCTCATAGAGTGACACTCACAGAGTGACGATCACAGAGTGACACTCACAGAGTGACTCTCACAGAGTGACGCTCACAGTGACACAGAGTGACTCTCACAGTGACACAGAGTGACTCTCACAGTGACACAGAGTGACGCTCACAGAGTGACTCTCACAGAGTGACTCTCACAGAGTGACTCTCACAGAGTGACGCTCACAGAGTGACTCTCACAGAGTGACGCTCACAGAGTGACTCTCACAGAGTGACTCTCACAGAGTGACTCTCACAGAGTGACGCTCACAGAGTGACTCTCACAGAGTGACGCTCACAGAGTGACTCTCACAGAGTGACGCTCACAGAGTGACTCTCACAGAGTGACGCTCACAGTGACACAGAGTGACTCTCACAGAGTGACGCTCACAGAGTGACTCTCACAGAGTGACTCTCACAGAGTGACGCTCACAGTGACACAGAGTGACTCTCACAGAGTGACTCTCACAGAGTGACTCTCACAGTGACACAGAGTGACGCTCACAGAGTGACTCTCACAGAGTGACTCTCACAGAGTGACGCTCACAGAGTGACGCTCACAGAGTGACGCTCACAGAGTGACGCTCACAGAGTGACTCTCACAGAGTGACGCTCACAGAGTGACTCTCACAGAGTGACGCTCACAGAGTGACTCTCACAGAGTGACGCTCACAGAGTGACTCTCACAGTGACACAGAGTGACGCTCACAGAGTGACTCTCACAGAGTGACGCTCACAGAGTGACTCTCACAGTGACACAGAGTGACGCTCACAGAGTGACTCTCACTGAGTGACGCTGACAGAGTGACTCTCACAGAGTGACACTCACAGAGTGACGCTCACAGTGACACAGAGTGACTCTCACAGAGTGACACTCACAGAGTGACTCTCACAGAGTGACGCTCACAGAGTGACTCTCACAGTGACACAGAGTGACGCTCACAGAGTGACGCTCACAGAGTGACTCTCACAGAGTGACTCTCACAGAGTGACGCTCACAGAGTGACGCTCACTGAGTGACGCTCACTGAGTGACTCTCACAGAGTGACGCTCACAGAGTGACGCTCACAGAGTGACTCTCACAGAGTGACGCTCACAGAGTGACTCTCACAGAGTGACTCTCACAGAGTGACGCTCACAGAGTGACGCTCACAGTGACACAGAGTGACGCTCACAGAGTGACTCTCACAGAGTGACTCTCACAGAGTGACGCTCACTGAGTGACGCTCACAGAGTGACGCTCACAGAGTGACGCTCACAGTGACACAGAGTGACTCTCACAGAGTGACTCTCACAGAGTGACGCTCACAGAGTGACTCTCACTGAGTGACTCTCACTGAGTGACGCTCACAGAGTGACGCTCACAGAGTGACGCTCACAGTGACACAGAGTGACGCTCACAGTGACACAGAGTGACTCTCACAGTGACACAGAGTGACGCTCACAGAGTGACTCTCACTGAGTGACGCTCACAGAGTGACGCTCACAGAGTGACGCTCACAGTGACACAGAGTGACTCTCACAGTGACACAGAGTGACGCTCACAGAGTGACGCTCACAGAGTGACGCTCACAGAGTGACGCTCACAGAGTGACTCTAACAGAGTGACGCTCACAGAGTGACGCTCACAGAGTGACGCTCACAGAGTGACGCTCACAGAGTGACGCTCACAGAGTGACTCTCACAGAGTTACTCTCAGAGTGACGCTCAGAGTGATTCTCACAGAGTGACTCTCACAGAGTGACTCTCACAGTGACACAGAGTGACTCTCACAGAGTGACTCTCACAGTGACACAGAGTGACGCTCACAGAGTGACGCTCACAGAGTGACGCTCACAGAGTGACTCTCACAGAGTGACGCTCACAGAGTGACTCTCACAGAGTGACGCTCACAGAGTGACGCTCACAGAGTGACTCTCACAGAGTGACGCTCACAGTGACACAGAGTGACTCTCACAGAGTGACGCTCACAGAGTGACGCTCACAGTGACACAGAGTGATTCTCACAGAGTGACTCTCACTGAGTGACGCTCACAGAGTGACTCTCACAGAGTGACGCTCACAGTGACACAGAGTGACTCTCACAGAGTGACGCTCACAGAGTGACTCTCACAGAGTGACGCTCACAGAGTGACTCTCACAGAGTGACTCTCACAGAGTGACTCTCACAGAGTGACTCTCACAGAGTGACGCTCACAGAGTGACTCTCACAGAGTGACGCTCACAGTGACACAGAGTGACTCTCACTGAGTGACGCTCACAGAGTGACGCTCACAGAGTCACTCTCACAGAGTCACTCTCACAGAGTGACGCTCACAGTGACACAGAGTGACTCTCACAGAGTGACGCTCACAGAGTGACTCTCACAGAGTGACGCTCACAGTGACACAGAGTGACTCTCACAGAGTGACGCTCACAGAGTGACGCTCACAGAGTGACGCTCACAGAGTGACTCTCACAGAGTGACTCTCACAGAGTGACGCTCACAGTGACACAGAGTGACTCTCACAGAGTGACTCTCACAGAGTGACTCTCACAGAGTGACACTCACAGAGTGACTCTCACAGTGACACAGAGTGACGCTCACAGAGTGACTCTCACTGAGTGACTCTCACTGAGTGACGCTCACAGAGTGACGCTCACAGAGTGACGCTCACAGTGACACAGAGTGACGCTCACAGTGACACAGAGTGACTCTCACAGTGACACAGAGTGACGCTCACAGAGTGACTCTCACTGAGTGACGCTCACAGAGTGACGCTCACAGAGTGACGCTCACAGTGACACAGAGTGACTCTCACAGTGACACAGAGTGACGCTCACAGAGTGACGCTCACAGAGTGACGCTCACAGAGTGACGCTCACAGAGTGACTCTAACAGAGTGACGCTCACAGAGTGACGCTCACAGAGTGACGCTCACAGAGTGACTCTCACAGAGTGACTCTCACAGAGTTACTCTCAGAGTGACGCTCAGAGTGATTCTCACAGAGTGACTCTCACAGAGTGACTCTCACAGTGACACAGAGTGACTCTCACAGAGTGACTCTCACAGTGACACAGAGTGACGCTCACAGAGTGACGCTCACAGAGTGACGCTCACAGAGTGACTCTCACAGAGTGACGCTCACAGAGTGACTCTCACAGAGTGACGCTCACAGAGTGACGCTCACAGAGTGACTCTCACAGAGTGACGCTCACAGTGACACAGAGTGACTCTCACAGAGTGACGCTCACAGAGTGACGCTCACAGTGACACAGAGTGATTCTCACAGAGTGACTCTCACTGAGTGACGCTCACAGAGTGACTCTCACAGAGTGACGCTCACAGTGACACAGAGTGACTCTCACAGAGTGACGCTCACAGAGTGACTCTCACAGAGTGACTCTCACAGAGTGACTACAGAGTGACTCTCACAGAGTGACTCTCACAGAGTGACTCTCACAGAGTGACTCTCACAGAGTACTCTCACAGAGTGACTCTCACAGAGTGACTCTCACAGAGTGACTCTCACAGAGTGACGCTCACAGAGTGACTCTCACAGAGTGACGCTCACAGTGACACAGAGTGACTCTCACTGAGTGACGCTCACAGAGTGACGCTCACAGAGTCACTCTCACAGAGTCACTCTCACAGAGTGACGCTCACAGTGACACAGAGTGACTCTCACAGAGTGACGCTCACAGAGTGACTCTCACAGAGTGACGCTCACAGTGACACAGAGTGACTCTCACAGAGTGACGCTCACAGAGTGACGCTCACAGAGTGACTCTCACAGAGTGACTCTCACAGAGTGACGCTCACAGTGACACAGAGTGACGCTCACAGTGACAGAGTGACTCTCACAGTGACACAGAGTGACGCTCACAGAGTGACTCTCACTGAGTGACGCTCACAGAGTGACGCTCACAGAGTGACGCTCACAGTGACACAGAGTGACTCTCACAGTGACACAGAGTGACGCTCACAGAGTGACGCTCACAGAGTGACGCTCACAGAGTGACGCTCACAGAGTGACTCTAACAGAGTGACGCTCACAGAGTGACGCTCACAGAGTGACGCTCACAGAGTGACTCTCACAGAGTGACTCTCACAGAGTTACTCTCAGAGTGACGCTCAGAGTGATTCTCACAGAGTGACGCTCACAGAGTGACGCTCACAGTGACAGAGTGACGCTCACAGAGACACAGAGTGACTCTCACAGTGACAGAGTGACGCTCACAGAGACACAGAGTGACTCTCACAGAGTGATGCTCACTGAGTGACGCTCACAGAGTGACGCTCACAGAGTGACGCTCACAGTGACAGAGTGACGCTCACAGAGACACAGAGTGACTCTCACAGTGACAGAGTGACGCTCACAGAGACACAGAGTGACTCTCACAGAGTGATGCTCACTGAGTGACGCTCACAGAGTGACGCTCACAGAGTGACGCTCACAGAGTGACGCTCACAGAGTGACGCTCACAGAATGACGCTCACCTGTGTGCCGCTCGTCGGTGCCGAACCAGGACCTGTAGAGCAGCAGCAGCTCCAGCCAGAAGACGTGATAGATGATGAAGAGGAGCAGCATGAGGACGAGGGTCGCCCCGAGGCCGACGCCCAGCTCCACCGAGGGCACCCACACTGGAGGAGATACAACAACCGTTAGTTTATATTAAAGGGATCCAGAAATAAAACACAAACTGGTTTCAGGTTTTTTTTTTAACTTTATTTTCCTTTTTCTTAGGATATATACAAATATATAAAAAACATGTCTATGAAGTGTATGACTCTATTTTAGTCCTGTTACTAAAGTGCTGATTCTGGGTCTGTTGCTTTAAAGAGCTCATCAGGAGAATTCTACCCAGATACCCATATCATGTTCCAAACCACATCAAGGATTATTTCTGAAACAGTATGGAGCTCAAACTCAAACGGAGGAAAAGAGAGAGGGTTTTATTTCCTGACACTTTGTGCGTCTCCTGTCCCACCGGACACACACCGGACACACCGGACACACACCGGACCCACTGGACACACACCGGACACACACCGGACACACCAGACACACCGGACACACACCGGACCCACTGGACACACACCGGACACACACCGGACACACACCGGACACACACCGGACCCACCGGACACACACCGGACACACACACCGGACACACACCGGACACACACCGGACACACACCGGAGACACATGTTGATGTAGAAAGACATCAGAAAGTGACTTTTGCATAAAAGGAGATCTTTAAACAACACATACTGTACAGCGTCAAAGAAAAATAAAACAGGTGTGCAGGTTATCCATTTTGACAACATTAATAGTACACATTTTTTTAAATGATAGACGGACAAATGGTTAAAATCACAGCACAAAAAACAAAACAACAAACACAGATAAATGTTAGTCATGGTTGACTTCAGGCTTTTTTTATTACCCCCCAGACGACCATCATTTTTTAAGAGCTAATTGATAATGCTAAAAAACAACCTCTGGAGGTCTCGTACTAAAAGCTTCTTTGGATCCAAGACCATAAAC